CGCGGCACGGGCCGCGTCGCGACCTCAGGGCGCAGGAGGTCTTCAACGTCGTCAAGGGCTGGATCCTCTCCGGCCTCGCGTGGGGGCTCTGGTTGGGCACTCCCTGCAGCAGCTTCTCGCGCGCCAGGCGGGCGCCAGCGGGCTCGCGAACGCCGGCGGCCATGCGGTCGCCGCAGCAGCCCCGCGGCCTCGCGGGGCCCCCGCCGCGGGACGCCGCCAAGCTCGCCGAGGGCATCGCGCCGGCCGACCGCGCTGGGCAGCTGGCCCGCCTGGCGCTGGAGCGCAAGATCCCCGGAGGCGAGGAGAACCCCGCCCAGTCCTACCTTTGGTCGTTGCGCTCGAGGGAGCGCTTCCTCCTCTAGCCCAAAGTGTTCGACGTGGTGGTCGACTACTGCGCCTTCGGTTGGGGCTTCCGAGCTCGCGTCCGGCTGCGACTCTGGCACTCCCTGCACGGGCCGTGGCACTTGCAGTTTCTCCGGCCAACCTCACATTCAGCTCGCGGGCAAAGACCGCGGCACCCCCTCCTTCAGGACAGCGCAGAAAAATGGGTGCCCACCTCAGTTGCGTCGTGTTCTGGCCGGTATGTTTTGTAACTCTAGGAAGAAAGGTTGGGCCATCAATCTCTGGTCAAGAATGAAGTGACGGCGCCATTGGGCGCCAGCGCAGTGCTGAATGCGGGAAGTATAGTCTTCACCTCGGTTGTTTTTTCTGTGTGCGGGTCGAGTTCGGCTGCGCGCCTGCTCGGCGAGAGAGGCGTCGCGTCGTGCACCTGGCTTCAGCAAGGTCCTCGCGAAAAAAAGTGACGATACTTCGTTTCCTACGTTATTCGTCTCTGGTTCGCCGTGCACTTCCCATCTCTGTAGCCCTTTTTCTGGTCCCACCCGCACCGCCCTGCAAGGTCTGAGGCGAGGTGCAGGGGTCGAGCTCGGCTGCGCGCCTGCTCGGCGAGAGAAGTGTCGCGTCGTGCATCTGGCTTCAGCAAAGTCCCGGCGAAAAAGATTGACGAAATCCTGTGGTGGCTCAGAGCAGCCAGGATTTGAGGTTCACCCCCCCCGTTGGCCGTTTGGTGGCGCGGAGGGGCTGCCTAGCAGACAGTAAACGGGAGGCAGGAAACAGGACCGGAGAGACAAAAGTCCAAACAACAAATGGCAACACATAACACATGACAGCAGACCGCACACACCTTCGCAGCCTTGCGCCCCCGGAGGGTGCCGGCGCATTTGCAATTTGCCCATACTGTTGCGACCAGTGGCATCATGGACAACATCATTCCGACGCAGAGCGCCACAATGAATGTGATCACGATTTCTTTGCAGCAGGTTGGGGCATACATGTTATATACATGGACGCTTCGTGCGCATGGTTGGATCGTTTCATGGACGTTTCAATGTGGTGGCCGCTTGTTTACTGGAGGTATCACGTTTGGCGATGCCCTTGGGATTCCGTCTGTCCAGGAAGCCGTATGTTTAAATCGGGCGTGTCCCTCTACAGGAGGAAAATTCAAAAATAGTCAAAAATAGCCGGGGGAGATTTTTGATTATTGCTTTGACTCTCTTTGATCAGTTTTGTAATATGTTTTATTTTCTTCCCAAATCCGCCTGTGGGGGGACACGCCCGACCTAACCGTATATGCATGTGTTGCCAAAGCGAAACGTTCGTACACTCATTATGTTGGGCATGTGGTCTTCGCTGCGGGAGGAAACACACACACACACACACACACACACACGCGTCTGACGCTTGTGTACCCGAAAAGACTTGCTTGGGTGCATTTGGAGGTTCGGAGGCTCGGAGCGGCGAGTTTGAAGCATGGGTGCATGAAATGAAGGGCGGGGGGGCGGGGGAAGTGACCACGTCGAGCCGAAATACCTTGACTCGGAGTCCCATCAGACCCAGCAACCGTAGACATTGTGTCAGAGTTGCTTTCCGCACCACTATGCGCTTGGACCCCAGTGCCCGCAAGGGCTTAGCCGATGTGTCAACGGAGGGGCAGATCCTCCTCCCGTTGTTTTTTCATGGTGCTCTGTGTTTCTGATGGTTCGGCGGCCATCTTGATGAGTTGGGGGATCGGGCGCTGGAGCCTGCAGTCCAGATTCATAGTGTTGCTTCTTGCCGCAGGTTGTCCGCCTATGTTGGCGCCCCGATCCTACGCGAAGAGGAGGACGGCGTCACGCTGATCATTAGATGTTCGGGGGGGGGGGGCGCGGGGGAGTTGGCAGAAGACCCCGAACGACCCCCAAGGGGCAAAACTCGTTGATGTCTCTCAGGTGCTTAATGGATGTCCGTTTTTTCTGTTTTCCCAGCTTCCACCAGCCCTAGACGGCCCTGGGGGGTCTCCCAGATCGCCCCACGAGGGCCCCAGAGAACCACAAGACGGCGCAGGACGGCCGCAAAAGGTCCCAAGCGGTCCCCAAGACGGCCCCAAGAGGGCGCCAAGCGGGCCCCACAGGGGAGCCTTGGGGAGGGTATTTTGCTGGGTTCGGTTCCCTGCGTGTCCCCAAGAGCCCCATCGGAGGCTTCCAAGACGCCCAAAGATGCTTCCAAGAAGCCCCCGAGAGATCGTTCGAAGTGCGCCAAGAGGTTTTGAGAGGGCCCTGAACAGCCCCCGCTTCCAAAAGCAGGCCGAGAGGCATCCCAAGAGATCCCAAGTTGTTTCTAACACGCATCTGGTCTACAACCCCAGGACGGCGGCGGGATTGTCCGCACGAGGGGACCCGACAACGACGGCGGTGACGACGACGACGACGACGACGACGACGACGTGCCCCGCCCGCCCGCCCGATCATCGGAATCGTCCACGGCGACGATGACGACGGCAACGGCGAAGACGACGACGCCCGGCGCCGGCAAACGAACACGATGATGACGACGACGACGACGTGTCCCCCCCGCCCGCCCGACCCACTCGCCCACGACGAAGTCGATGACGTGCCCCCCCGCCGCCCGACCGACGCCTGGCGCTGTCAAAAGACGACGACGACAACGACGACAACGACGACGACGACGACGGCGACGACGACGGCGACGACGACGGCGACGTGTCCCGCCCGCTCGACCGTCTCGTCCACGACGACGTCGACGACTTGTCCCGCCCGCCCGCCCGACCGATGGACTCGCTGACAGACGACGACGAGGACGTGGTGGTGGGAGAGGGGGCGGGACCCCCACCAGATTTTCGGAAGGAGGTGGGGCGGAGGGGGGGTTGGGGAGGGGCGAAATTCTCGCCAGGGGGGTGGGGTGTGCGGCGCGGGGCCTGTTCAAGGGGGGGCGGTGGGGGTGTCGAGCTGGGTGGGGGTCGGGTCGGCTCCGGGCGAGAAATTGTCGAGTGGGGAGTCCCGAGGGCAGAGGTCCCAGAGGAGTGGGGATGTCGGGCCAGGTCGGGATCGGCTCTGGGCGAGGAGTTGCGGAGCGGTGGGTGGGGGCTCCCACCTCGTTTGTCCGGCAGCGCGCGAGCGCGTTTTGTCGAGCCGGTGGGTCGCGCGCCAGGCACGGGGCACGCTAAGACGGATGGAACAGCAGAGGGCGACCGCGAGGGCAGAAGTGCTCGCGCTGTCGATGCTCTGCTCTCCTATCGCCCAGGGCTTTGCAGCGCCGCCCGCACCGTGCTCCTGCACGTCCGAGCTCCGCAGCTGCCTGCGCGCCCTCCTGTGCTCGGCTGCGTTCTTGCTCTTCTGGGCACTGCGCAGGCCCGAGGGAAGCTTGAGAGGCCCCCTCCCAAGATGTGGGAGGAGGCCCGAGCTGCCGAGAGTCGACGGGGGACAGGACCGCGCAGGCGGCCTCAGGCGCCGGGGGCCGGTGTACTCGCAGGTTGTGCGGGTCAGCACGTGCTGCCGAGATGGGGGCAGCGCTGGGGACGTCGAGCAACATGCCGTCGTAGGCGCCAGGGCCTGCGGAGGCTGTCTTCGGGAGAGCCGGCGAACACGGGGTGGCCAGGCATTGCTGGGGCCCTCCAGAGTGTCTGCGGAGCCAGGCCGATGCCCAGGCGGGCTACAGCGATGCCACCGGGGGCAACGCAGGCGCCAGGTCTGGCCGTGGAGCACCATGAGCGGCGCTGCAGCCCGACGCGGCCCAGGGACCGGGCCTCGGCGACGAGTGCGCCGAGTGGTGGCGCGGAGCGCCGGGGCCTGCGCGACAGGCGGCAGCCAGGGCGGCCGAGGGCGGGGGGGAGCGACAAGAAGGGGGGAGGGGGGGAGGAGGCCCAGGGGGTGGGCGCACCGGAAGGGGGGAGGGGGGGAGGAGGCCCAGGGGGTGGGCGCACTGGAAGGGGGGAGGGGAGGAGGAGGCCCAGGGGGTGGGCGCAGCGAGCAGCGACCTGGCCACCCGCACGAGCCACGTCACAGCACCCGTCACTGCGCGCGAAGCCTTGGTGGCGGTCGTAGAGGCGGGTGGAATACCTGCCTGCCCCGCAGGCCAGGGTGGACCTCGGGGACGCCAGTAGCAGCAACCTCGTCATGCGAACTTTGTGAATCTTGCTGGGGGAGGCGACTAATCGTCGTAAGGACTGGTGGACATGCAGCGCGATCCGACTCCCCCACTACTTGGCCAGGGTGGACTGTGGAGGGAGCGGAGCGTGTGAGACTGACCTGTTTTGCAGATCCCGACAAAAACGCCACCCATTGCTTTCGAAGCCGTTCATTCTTCCAACTTCTTCAGTAATGCCCATTTCACTTGTCACTCCTCGCCACCTTCCTTGCTCCATCCTGGGCAGTCTTCTCCAGTCTCCAAACAATCGCGTCGAAAAGCCTGGTCACAGCATGTCTGACAGTTGTACTGTTGTACCCTGTCGTTTTCTTCGTTGACCCTCGCTGAAGTTGCCGCTGTCATCCTCGTCGTCGTCGTCGTGCCCGTCGTCCACTCGGACTCGCTCTCACACCCAGATGCTCATAGACAATCACTTCCAGCGAGACGTGCCAAGAACATGGTATACACATATGGGGATATCCGCCTCGAGTGATTGATGATCCTTTGTTGCCCACCCATCTGGCCAGGTGGGCCGCAGCATGGCCTACGACCCGATCCTGCACTCACCGACGGAGTCCCGGGACTGCCCGCCAGGCTACCGCCGAACGACGGAGGCGTTCATCGGCGAGGGGTCTACCAGGAGCGGCCAGGGGAGTACCGAGTTCGGGTCTCGCTAGACGTGGTCCTGGCCCCAGGTGTCCCCAGCTCTTCGCTCCATCTCGGGGCCCCTGGGGCCCTCTGGGCCTCGTGCAGGGTGCTTTGGTGACCCCATCTGGGCCTCCCCGGACATCCCCGGGACACCTTGGGCAAGGGACACTTCTGGCTACACCCGGCGGGTGCTGGCAGGGCTCTTGCCCAGACATTCTGCGTCCTGACCACAATCACCGCTGCTGGCGGCAGACAAGGGGGGATGCGAGTGCGAAAAGCCGCGCGTTGCGAAACTTCCCTACTTTAAGTTTCTTCGCTCGGTGCGGCTTGCGGGCAGCATCGGTGCGACCGAGGGCCGTAGACGACAAATTGTTGCTCAAACGCTGGAGATGTTCCCAGTGGGTGGGGAAGGGATGTGGGAGGAGGTCGACGACGACGACGACGACGATCCACCCGCCCCGCCCCCCCCCCTTCCTCGAGGGGACGAGGAGCTCGCTGCAGACCCACCCGCCAGTGGCCATGATTTGTGTCTTGTCGTTGGCCCCCAGACCACTCGACCCGCCACCCAGGGCTCCCTTCCGAGCCTGTTTGGCGTTCGGCCGCCGAGCGGAGCTGGGATTGAGCCCGTGCGGCTGCCGAGCTGGCCAACTCCGCAGCACCCTGTCGGAATTGAGCCCAGTCTTCGGCCCACTCGGCTGCCGCATGGGCTCACTCGGCGGGGGAATGCGGCTCCGTCCCTCCGTCCCCTCCGTCCCCTCCTCCCTCTTCCTGCTTCCCCCCCAGTATAACGCATGCACTCGCACAAGCCTGAGACCAGCCAACAGCCTCCTTAGCCTTAACCGCCCTCTCCCTCTTCCCTTTGTCCCTCCCTCCCTCCCTCCCTCGCTCCGCCTCTTCCCTTCTCCCTCCCCCCGTCCTCGTCCCTGTTTCCCGGTGTCTCCCCTCCCTCTCCCCTCCTCCCTCTTCCCTCCTCTCTGTCTTCCATTCCCTCCCTCCCCTGACCCCCGGCGTCGTGCTCTCTCACGGCGTGGACACCCCGAGATCTCGGGCCCTTCCCCATGGCGTTTCGTCTCATCCTGAGCCGCTTCTGCTGACGGCCCTTCTGGTCCCCAGAGGCCGAAAGAGGCCGCAATGCATTGCGCCGTGATTGTTTCACGAGGCGGGGGGGCGGACCGACGCCGTCTTCGGAGCCGACTTCTGCCTGCGCTGGTCTCGGTCGCGGTCGCGGGGGAGTGGCTCTTCGAGGGAATAACAGGCCGGGGAACCGCTCACGCCTCCCTAGTCATGAGCAGTTGCAGCGGCACGCAAACAGTCCTTCGGTGCATTATTCGTGGATGTGGTGCGTGCATTCTGCCTGACGCTGAGAGAGACGCTACTCCGCTCGCCGCTCGATGATTACTCTGTTGCTTGTATCGTCGGGGCAGCAGGGTTACCACCTTCAGCGATGCACGAGCTCGCGCGATGCCTACGTGACCACGGTGCGCTGTTACCGCCCTGGTTGGCAGCCTGAGCATTGTGATGCACACGTGCTCGCGCATATCGAGCAGCGTTACGAGACGCCGTGGTTCATGTGCGAAGGCTCCCATCTGGTGCCCCTACCACACGGTTCGGTCTTCCCTGGACAGTTCTTGGCAGATGTGCTCCATGAACCACCCACGGCATACCGCACGAACGGAGTACGACGTGCAGTGGATGCAGACGGGTTGACACATCGTTCTGCCCCCCCTGCCTAGCCCGAGCTCCTTTCCCGCTCTCTCGCCCAGGGGCTCACGTGGCACCAGCCGGGTGCAATGTGTGCACCTGGTGCGCGCCGCGCGCGCGGTCCCGCGCGCGCCTGCCCGAGCGCCCCGCAGCCAGGTTCTGAGCGCATCTCCGACCGTGCTCCGGCGGCTGTCCGCGCGATGTGCACGCACCTCGGGGGGCGCGTTCCATTCTGGCAGGGACGGCTCTCGGGCTGCGCTTGTTCCCCCCTCGTTCGGAGCAGCGACGGATGGATCGCCCGCGTTCGCCGCCGTCTCGTTTGCGCGCCGAGAGGTGCTCACGTCTGATTGGCAGGCAGCGTGAACCCGCGGCACGCTGTCTGTCCTCGATGCGGGGCAGGGGCCTATGCAGGCGTCGCGCAAGGACTGTCCGTGTTGCTTGCTTCTCTGCTCGTGGCTCATTCTTCCCACCGACGCAGTTAAGCTGCTAGCCGACAGCTTACGGATGCACGCCTTACGTCCGCCGACGTTTCGTTTCGCGCCGAGCCAGGGCCGAGGATAACTGCGCCCCCTTTGGCGCACAAAAAGCGGCCGCAGAAGGTTGCCCCCCCGTGCATGGCAGTCGGCAAGACTGCCTCTGATTGGTACTGTACCTTTAACTGCCCATTTTGCTGCGCTGTCCACCTTCGCAAGCTTGCCGCCGAGCTCTTGCCTGAGTTTTTGCCCCAAGCGGTTTCCAAAGTTGCGCAGTGCTTTCTTCGCACCACGCTTAGCGCTGCGAAAGTTGTCTTCAGATCCGTCGTCCGCGGGATGGCATCGAGCCCCTCCTGGCAAGTGCGACGGAGTGAGAGCCTACACTCTTGAATCGCCGGCGACTTTCGGCCACAAGTGTTTCATATTTGCACGCAGTGACGCTGCTGAGCTCATAGTTTGCAGTGGTTGAAAGGCTATACCTCCCATGCGATGATCCGAGGTTAGAAAAATAATTGTACGACCCCAGCTGGACATTTGTTGTGCGCGTGGGCCTGGTCCCGAACTCCTAAAAAGCCTCCCTCCCCAAACGCCAAGGTGTTACAGTTCCAGTGGAGGCGGGTGACCGGCTCGAAACTCTCTGGCGTTCGCTGGGTTTTCTGACTGCAGGAGCCCGTGTCTCGCTTTGGCCAGGCTTCTGCGAGGACCCCCACCTGGGGGGATTCTGCACGGTGGCTGGATCCCTCGGAGAAGGACTCCCTCGCCCTCCTCCCCCTCCCCCACCCTTCGGCTCCGCGTCCTGGGGCGTCCTGCGGCCGTCGTATCCACGTAGTAAACCAGCGCTGGCTTCCTTGAGCCCTCGCGTCTGACGTCGCTGCCATCCGACCCCCGCAGCTTGCCTGCTTTGCAGACCTGCGCGCCCGACCCTTCCGGCTTCGGCGCGCCCGGCCCCCTCTTGCATCTCTGCTGCCTCTGGAGGACCTGGACGGGACTGCGGGACTGCGCGGTGCGGTGCGAGGCCCGTGCGTCCGCGCGTCGGGCTCGCCTCGCGCGGGGAGGAGGGGCGAGGAGGAGGAGGAGGAGGACCAGTGTGAACCCAAGACGCACCAACGATGCTGCAGCACTTGCACACCGTCCCTCCAAGTACCCCCTTTTTTCACAGGTTCCTACAGAAATATATCTTCGCAGCAGGGTCCGGCCCATTATAGAATCCAATGGTTTGAGAATTTTCGATCGTGATAAAGAGCGAAATTCCTGGGACTTCAAAGCCGCGGATTCACGCGACTGTTGCGTTCCTGAGAACCCTAAATTGTGCCAGAAACACCGTTCGTGTGATCTCAACACCGCGAATCAACGAGATATTTGCGTCCTGACAGTTTTGAGTCAAGCAAGAGCACAGTACGAAACCGTTGCTAACTTTTTAGACGAAAGAGCGCGGCGCTAAGTCGAGAGCCACATTTTGAAAAGGGAGCCGCCCTCCATCCGCGAACATTTGCCAAATGGTTAGAACAATGCTGCAAGGTTTTAAGACGAAAGCGCGCGGCGCTTAGGCGAGAGCCACATTATAAAAACGGCCCGTCCTCCATTCGTGAAAATGCTGCAAAGTTGTAATGCGAATGCACGCGGCGTTGAAGCGCGAGCCGCACTTTGAAAACGAGCCGCCCTCCATCCGTGAAGCTGTTGCGAATGTCAAGTTGCAGTATCGAACGCCCAGCACGCCCTACCGAAACACGTCCGGGGTTGCCACAGGGAGGAGTTCTGTATAAGGAAAGGGGATGGAGGAGCAGGAGGAGGAGGAGAAGGAGGAGAATGAGCAGGCAGGCATGGCTTCTGGAAGTTGCGCTCCACACGTGAGCGCATGTAGAGCTCGCAGGCGCCTCCTGGACGCAGTAGTGCCCGCACAGGGCCACGGACCTCGGCCGCTGGGACCACTTGGACAACCCAGTCGACCGGTGGCGGGGGGTGAGGGATGGAGGAACGACAGGAGGGGGGGGTGAGAGAGTAGGGGGGTGAAGCGGCGCGTGGCTGCGGGAAAGAGTAGGGGGGAGAGAGTAGCGGGGGGGGAGAGAGTAGGGAGAGAGAAGGGGGGAAGCCGGACGGATATCCTGAGTGCACACTCTCAGCTGACCCTGGTGGCCGCGATGCGACGGCCAGAGGCCGACTGCGCTGACAGGGCTTAAGGCTCAGAGCACACGGCCCTGGGCCAAGGCACGGCAGGGCCAAAAGAACAGCAATGGGCACGTGACGAGCACGTGCCAATTTTTTCTCGAAATTCCCGGTAGCACATCCAATCACTTTCATGACATGTCTTGACATTTTTAGGACAACCAGGGAATAGGATACCGAAAACCCTTCTCCGTTCGATGGGATATGTATTTTCCTCGGGAAGTGCAAGTCCAAAGCTGCTTCGACGTGCCTACGTCCTGAGTCAACCGAGCACTTGCAATCATTAAGCAGACCGGTGAATTAAGATGGCTGCAGGATGATGAAAGGGAGCGTTGCGTCTGAAGGGGCGTAGAGGACGAGCATCGCAGAAGTGCGCCGGGAAAGCAATTTAGTTGGGCACGGTGCAGAGGTGAAAACGAAGTCCCAGCGCCCTGGGCCCAAACGGCCTCGATGCCCTCTTCCGGTGCAAACCTCCGCGACGAAAGCAGCCCGGCGGGCGTGGCTCTGAAAAATAGTGTCCGAGGGTTTGGCGAGGATGGGCGAGATGGTCGGTTGACGTCCCGGCAGCGGGAAGGCGGGGTGGGATGGCGCGCCCAAAAGTCGCGCGGAAGGGGCTGCCTTCTCGGGCGGCGCGGAGCACGCATGCCGAGGCCGTCGGCGCCAGGGCCAGGATCCCCGCAGGGCTTCGTGACGAGACCGAGCGAGGGTGGCGCTGGCGTCGGCGCGGCCGGTGACCGAGGCCTGCAGGGCCCGCGTCTGGGGCGGGCCGGCAAGGAGCATGGCGGGATCCTGGGAGGGGCTTTGATGATGATGACGATGACGATGACGATGACGATGACGATGATGATGATGATGATGATGATGATGATGATGATGATGATGATGATGATGATGATGATGATGATGATGATGATGATGATGATGATGATGATGATGATGATGATGATGATGATGATGATGATGATGATGATGATGATGATGATTATGATGCTGATGATTATGATGCTGATGCTGATGCTGATGCTGATGCTGATGATGATGATGATGATCATCATCATTGTGATGATGAGAATGATGATGAGGACGATGAGGATGAGGAGGAGGATGAGGAGGATGATGACGAGGAGGAGGATTATCAGGATGATGAGGATGATGAGAATAATAATGATACTGATAATGATGATGCTGATGATGATGATGATGTTGATGCTGATGCTGATGTTGCTGATGCTGCTGATGCTGATGCTGATGCTGCTGATGCTGATGCTGATGCTGTTGCTGATGCGATGATGATGATGATGATGATGATGATGATGATGATGATGATGATGATGATGATGATGATGATGATGATGATGACGAGGATGAGGAGGAGGAGGAGGAAGAGGAGGAGGATGATATTGATGATGATGACGATGATGATGATGATGATGATGATGATGATGATGATGATGATGATGATGATGATGATGACGATGATGATGATGATGATGATGATGCTGTTATTGTCGAGTTCTCTTTTCAAAAGAGCAATTGTTGCTGATCCCCCTTGCCCGGTGCCCCTGGTATTTTGCTCAATCGAGGTGCTCCTCCTGGGGCTCGCACCCTGGACAAGTCTTGAGCGTCAGACTGGGCCCCTGGTCCCCGGTTTACGCCAACAGCGGCTCCCGCCCAATTCAGAATCTTGCTCTCGCGCGGGACTTCCTCACCATTTTCTCCCGGGATCGCGCGCTCGCGTGGTGTTTCTTCGTGATTCGTTCAGGTGCCGCGCCCTCGACACTCAGGAATCAGTCTCTCGCTTTGGCCGTTCTCGCGATTTGTTTGGGAATCGCTCCAGACTTACCCACGATTCATGCAGGACTCACGCTTCAGCAACCCGCCTGGTCGACCCTGCCGCCCGGGCCTGCCTTCCCGACCCGCCCGTTAGGGTCTACCCGCCCGACCTGCCTGTCTGGTTCTGCCACGTGTTTTCTGCCATGTGCTTTCTGCTCCAAGCCCCTCTCCTGCTAATCTCTCTCGTGCTTCATCCTTCTTCCTCCATTTTGTCCCTTCTTTCCGTCCGTCCTCTCTTCCCATGTTTTAGAGGCTGCGCAAAATGCACGTGGCAGGTGAGGAAGATATATCCCCAAGGTGGTACGATCTAAGACGGAGAGGGCGGGTACCGAGGGTTGAAGATATACGTGTTGTCTGGCACGCGAGCAGATGAGGGCGAGCAGTCTTAACACGACGGTCGTTGATGCTGATGTTGATGTTGATGCTGATGCTGATGCTGCTGTTGTTTATGATGATGAGGCTTGAGGCTTGTCGCCATCATCACCACCGTCACCCATCATCATCTGACACCATCCGCGCGAGGCCCGGCGGCAGAGACAGGCATGGGAGCCCCGGCGGAAGCTCCGCGGCCCCCCGAGGGGAGGGGGGAGGGGAGGGGGGGCGGGAGCGCCAGGACGGCGGCGGGCGGCTGTCAGGGGCAGCAGGCGGGGCAGCGGGGCCGCGGGCGCCCGCACCGGCGTGCGAGGGCAGGGCCGGGCCGCCGCCCGCGGAGCGCGCTGCAGGCGGCCGAGGCGCGCGACGTTCAGGGGATCGGCGGCTCAAAGGTGGGGTCCTGGGGGATGGGGCCCTATGAGGACTCCTCAAGCAAGGCGAAGTCACCCCGGGACCCCTTCCCAACCTTCAGACCCCGTCCCTGAGGACCCGATTGTTGAACCTCCGAAGGGAGGATGCTCGCGCTTCAAGCCTCGGGGCTTGCTGAACGGCGACGCATTTCGCCACCAGACGGCTGCGGCCACATAATGCTGAGCGTGAAGCGATGCTTGATATGGTCGTGCAAATGCAAGCGAGGACCAGAGCGGGCAAATCGTGCCCCGCCAAATCTCTCTCGCGGCATGTGAGGCGGATGAAAACTCTGGTGCCGTTCCCGCCACTCCCATAACAGGGTCTTCGTTCTAAAGCACAGTCGGCATTGGCGGGGGAACGGCGGGCCGAGACAGCCGCCAAGCTCAATGCGCAGGGTTCATCTCGCGCCGATCGATCCGATTCGATGTCGATTTCTGCTGGCCCTCTCCGATTCGACTCCGGTGGTCCGACGATCCGATGCAGCCCGATGCTTGTTTGGCGCTGTTGTGCATCCTGTCGCGGCCGACCTGAGTCGATTCCGACTCCGTGCCGATGCTGCCCGATTCGACGACGGTTCCGATGCGATCAAACTTGGGCGTCCAAGGACTCTTGCATCATTGCCCGTCGGTTGCTGAATATAGGTATTCTGGGAGTCCCAGGGTCCTCCAATCTACTACTTCAGGCGCCTCTCCACTTCAATCATCGCGTGAATTTTCCTTTCTCCTCTCGAGGGGGCGGGCGGACACCCAATCTGCTTCAACGCCATCCTGCTTCGCGTTTCTACCCGTTCCCTCCGACTGATGGGCACAGCGCATCCTTATGAGCGGGTCGCGTTGTGAACAAACAGCGCCACGAGGTCCGGCACATGCACCTGCTCGGCGCGTGCCCGGGCTTCGAGTACTACCTGCCGAAGGGCACCTGCACCATCTACCTCGCGGGAGCCCTGGGGGGGTCGAGGGGTCGAGCCTCCTCCTCTCTCCTTTTAATGTTTCCCTCCACTCCTCTCCTCCTCCTCTTCCTCCTCCTCCTCCTCTTCCTCCTCCTGCTCCTCCTCCTCCTGCTCCTCCTCCTCCTTCGCAAGAGATTGGGAATCAAGGCTCCGCCGCCTTTCACTTACCTGGGACCTATGGACCTGGGGGAGGAGTCGAGTGCGACGATGAGGAGGAGGAGGAAAACGAAGAGGACCCACTGCCTGAGGACGAGCCTGGAGCAGACCTAGTTCCACCAGCTGCTGATGAAGGGCTGGGCGAGAAGTGATCTTTGCGCAACAGGGAGGAGGTGTGGGACTCGATCGTTATCACCAATGACAAATGGTGGTCCAAACCTCCAGATTACGTGCGGGATTCGCACGCGTGGCATCTCATGGCTGACAGTGCTTTTTCTTTGGGACACCAATTTGGCAAGTGGGTCAGCAAGGTGGAGGATTTCAGTTTATTATTCGATGGCGAAGGTTTGGGCAAGGACGGCAAATCACAGCGTGGTAGAGGCATTGCCAGTTCGGCCAGGATCAACACAGTTGTGCCTTCTCCTCCTTTCACTCGGACACGGGACCCTGGGGTGGAATGGTGGGCTAAGATTGCCTTCTTGCTTGAGGAATTCGACAGGGCCACATCGAGACCTGAGGGGCGCGACGACTTTCGTCCCCACTTCCACCCTGGCCTCTTTACCGAGGAAAGAGAAGCAGTCTTGGTGCAGGAAGCTTCGTATGTTGAGTTCTGCCACGAATGACACCATCCGAAGGTACAAGGGGGACTGCAGCAATATTGCCAGCAGCTAGCAAAGGATGGAGTGTTACTCGCAGTACTTGGCGTTCTCGCAATGGGCGAGGAACAGTGCATAGCGGCGCCTGGCGAGCTATTTCGACTTATCAAGGATCAGCCTGCAGCGAAGGACGAGTTCGAGGACGGGCCGATCGTCTCCTCCGACCCGCTCACGGCGATGGATATCTGAGCGAAAGTTTGGCGAAAGAAGTGGAGTGATTCTTCAGTGGATATTGAGACGGTGTCGCATCTCTTGAGCACAGCGCGCGACCGTTTCAGGGAAGTTCTTTTCCCTGTCTTCGACTTGGAGACGCTGGAGGAGGGCATCAGGAGGATGAAGGGCCCCTCGGCCAAGGGCATCGAACAGCTGGGTAATAAGGACCTGGCCTGGCTTCCAGAACAAGGCAGGCTGGGATTGGCGCAGTTTTTCAACAGATCGAGAAGGAGGTCGCTTGGCCATGGCAGCTCACAGTGGTCTTGGCGACACTCACGAGGGAACCACCTGGCGACGACGAGGCCATCGGGGTACTGTCCAACCTAGCGAGGTTGTGGTCTAGTTGTCGCGGTGAGTACCGTTGCCAGGGATGCAGCTGTTGCAGGACCGTCAGCCTTACGCGGGGCCCTGATGCGTTGCTTTGGCGAGACGGTGGCCCTATCTACGATTCAAGGAGGGCGCAGGCGGGTATGATGTGGGATATCGAAGGCTCCTGTGACGCTTGAAAGTGGACGTTATTGCTAGAATCAGGGTTGGAACGTGACTTTCCCCTTGGCATGCTGGCCTTGGAGATAATCCTGCACATGGGAGTCCGTTTCTTGCGCGACAGTGGGCATTGCTCCGACGCCATTATTCTTGAGCAGAGCATGGTTGCAGCCTTGGGAGGTGCAGTTGGTTTTTCAAGGCGCGCACTGTACAACGTGTTTGACAGAGTGGCCCGAGGTGCGCCAGGAGTGACTGCGCGGTCCTGGGTAGACGACGTTTCCCAGCGCGTGACAGGTGCGAGAGGGCCCTTGGTCTGGCCTTGCATGCGGGACTCACTGTTGCCAAACGCTGCTCCGATGCGGGATTGGTTATCTCGTCTAAATCTACCATCGTCGCCAATCGAGCTGACCTGGGGAAAGCTCTTCAGAAAGGTGTTGCCAAAGAAGGCTTCGCGGTCGCGATCGAGAGCGCCGCCGCGGACCTGGGCATTGATTGAGGCGCAGTTGGTTTTCAGCGCCCTAAGCAAGCGCATCGGCGACGTGGTGCTCGGAATCGGTTCAACCGTGCCAAGCGTTTTGCACGCGGGGCTGCTCGGGGGAAGATAGGGGCCAGGCTCGCTATGATGGGTGTCTTACTGATGACGGACTATTCGGACAAGGCGCTCGGCGCTGCCCCCTCAGTTATCGGCGGCTGGAGGAAGGCGCTCGGGCAGACCCCGGCTATGAAGTGGCCTGGCCGTCGCCGCGCCACCTCGCTGCAATTTCGCGCGGGGGGGGGGGGCCCGCAGCGCCAGATTGTGCACGGGTTGATAGAGTCCTGGATGTCCGTCATCTTCAAACCCGGGGTCGATCTGGAGTCGGCTCGTCGAACGTCGCGCGCGGCTGGAGGGCGGATCGACAACGGAGCGCAGAAAGACACATGGCGTGGTATCACTGGGGCGGTATCTGCTACGATCGCCACGCCAGTGGACATTGGCTGGGGCCCTGCCGGACCTCGGGCGTGGATCTCGGATGCCGGGGGGCGCTTCATGGCACCAGATAGTATCATTGGGAAAGGTCCCCAGGCTATGAGTGCCCGCGAGGACGCCATCTCGAACGCCATCGATAGGGCGCCTTGGGCCACGGCTTCGATGCACTGGAACGGCAAGGGCCCGCCTGCAGGAGCTGATCTACGCCATGCACGTCGGCAGCTCGCTTCCCTGGGGAAGAGAAGGGAACTTGGAGATGTCGGGTGCAATCGAAGCAGTCGCGACGGGGGCCTCTTGGACACGCAGCAGGATAGCCACCCTGAGTAGCAGCAAGCTGGACTCCACGGACTGCCAGAGATGCGCTTGTGGCGAAGATGAGGCGGATCTTCATCGCAGCTGGTCATGTTCTTGCAATGGGTTCTTTTCTACCATCTCACAGACACTTGTCCGTCGTGCTCATGGCCATTATGAAGGGCTACCTTGCCTCTGGCTTCGAGTGATGTGTCCTTGGTCTTGGACGCAAGTGGATGAGCCGACTGACGCGCCGTTCGACGCGGCTTCGACGGATTGGGTGGTCGTCGAAACCAAGTGCCCTAGCCAGCCCAACCGGCCAACCCAACCAACCAGCCACCCAAACAACTCAACCGGCTCAACCAGCCCAACCAGCCACCCCGCAACCCCAGCCAACCCGCCACCCCGCCAACCCGCCCACCCCCGCCGCCTGCCCTCCGTCACCGTCGAGAGGGGGGGGGGAAGCGTTTCTTACAAGCGAAACCGCAAAAATCACCCTCCCGGGGTCCGGCGGGGCAGCGGGGGGAGGGGAAATCGCGCCGTACTAATGGGGGAGCGGAATTCGCGCCCGAGGTGCCCATAGACGATTTGGGGCTCCAAATGCGACACTCTGATCACTTTATTCCCTTTCACCGCGCTCCCCTTCTCAACGGAAAGGCCCCCGCCCGTGAAACAGCCGTCATTTTCCAGCCCCCGCGAGAGGCTTCTTAGAGGCCCCCACAGGCTCCAGGGGGGCCCATGGCGGCCTCGGGAGTGCCTTGGAGACCTCCGGAGGGCCCCAGGAGGACCCACTCTGCACCGCGCCCCCCTTCTCAACGGAAAGGCCCCCATGCGTGACATTGTTTTCATCGTTCCGCCCCCGCGAGAGAGTCGGAGGCTCCAGGAGGGCCCATGGCGGCCCCGGGAGAGCCCGCGAGATCTCAAGAGCCCCCCCGAGGACCCCATTTGAATTACACTCAGGGAGCTCCAGAGGGCCCAGGAGGCTCCAAGAGGCCCCAAGAGGCCCCGAAGAGCCCAAACAGGCCACAGGACCCCCAGCACGCTCTAGGAGAGCCACGGCGACGCCAAGAGGCTCCAGGACGGGCGTCATTCCCTCTCCTCCTCCTGCTCGTCGTCGTCATCCTTCTCCTCATCCGTCCTACTTCAAATCCTTCCTGAGGCCCTCTTCCTCCTCCTCCTCCTCCACTTTCTCCTCCTCCGCCTCCTCCTCTTCCTCCTCCTCCTCCTCCTCCTCCTACCTCATCCGAAGCTTCGATGGCTCCGATAGCGCCGTGCGCGAGATCCGCCTCCCCCCCATCCGCCCCCCCCCCATCCGAGAGCCTCAGGGGTGGACGTCTGGCGGGAAAAAAACACGAGTGGAGGAGGAAACAACACGACGCTTGGTTTCTACCCCCGTGAGGGGCGCTACAGGGTACCAACTTTCCAGGTCCTCCGCGAACCTGCCTTGGATGACAAACTGTCGCGTTCCCGAGATGGCGGCATTCTCACGAAGCAAACCATCAACAGGGGAGAGTCGACGGCTCTGCTCAGGGCGGTGGAGGATATCTTGGGGCTTGGCGTGCCCATCACCTTTGTCGCGGACTCGGGGGTACGCCGTGAAGGGCTTAGCCAAGCTCAACGCAGGTCGGCTTCCGACGACCAACCTGGGCCTCTGGCTAAAGCTGAAGCAGATGCTGATGCCGCACCAGACACTGTTCAGCGTGGTCAAACTCGAGAGACACATGACAGTTGAAGGGGCGGCGAACGCTGGAACCATGGTGGAGCACTACCCGGCCAATGCTATGGCTGATGAAGCGGGAGGTTTTGGGGTTGAGACGTGCGCGGTACCAAATGCGGCGGTGGCGGCAATGGAGCATGCCGAGGCGATCGGCAGAGCAGCACGGAAGCACTTGGCCAAGGCCTTCTCGGCAGCTGCGGAGGCAGAGCCGAAGAGGCTGCGCCCAACGCGTTCGATGGCAGTCCGTTTTTTTCCCAACCATCCTGTGGTGTTGGGTCCTCGTTTTGAAGAGACGGTGCCCCGCGTTCCTCTCCTCCTCCTCCCCCTCCTCCCTCTTCCCATTGTCATCATCATCGTCGTCGTCGTCGTCGTCGTCGTCATCATCATCGTCAGCATCATCATTATCATCGTCATCGTCATCGTCACCCACGCCCATTTCGGCACACCCCTCATACGCTTCGTGGCCCCATAGGGAGCTCCACCGAAGGCCCCAGTGGCAGGGTCCGCATGCCTCCCCATTACCCATTTCGGCACACCCCTCACACGTTTCGTGGCCCCATAGGGAGTTCCACCGAAGGCCCCAGTGGCAGGGTCCGCATGCCTCCCCACCACAAATGTCGGCACACCCCTCACACGTTTCGTGGCCCCATAGGGAGCTGGAGCTCCACCGAAGGCCCCAGTGGCAGGGTCCGCATGCCTCCCCACCACAAATGTCGGCACACCCCTCACACGTTTCGTGGCCTTATAGGGAGCTTCACCGAAGGCCCCAGTGGCAGGGTCCGCATGCCTCCCCACCACCCATTTCGGCACACCCCTCACACGTTTCGTGGCCCCATAGGGAGCTCCACCGAAGGCCCCAGTGGCAGGGTCCGCATGCCTCCCCACCACCCATTTCGGCACACCCCTCACACGTTTCGTGGCCCCATAGGGAGCTCCACCGAAGGCCCAGTGGCAGGGTCCGCATGCCTCCCCACCACATATTTCGGCACACCCCTCACACGCTTCGTGGCCCCATAGGGGGCTCCACCGAAGGCCCCAGTGGCAGGGTTCGCATGCCTCCCCACCACCCATTTCGACCCCAACACCCATGTCGGCACACCCCTCACACGTTTCGTGGCCCCATAGGGATCTCCACCGAAGGTCGGGGGGAGCTTGAGACTCTGGTGACACATGCGTTGGCACGTCTGGGTGGCTATCGGGTGGCTGGAACCGTTGGGGTAATCCGTGGAGAATGGGCTGTGGAAGTTGCTTATGAGGGCCCTGCCACTGGGGCGCCCGCCATCTCCTGCCCGCGCTGCCCTGTGCCTCGTCCAAGCAGTGGCGCGGTGCCCATGAGAAGAGGGGCCTGGTTTGCGTGCCCCCTCCTTCGTCTCATACCCGCGCGGACTTGCAGCTGCATATGATTGTCCTTCGCCAGGCTAATTTTCAGCGCAAGGTCACGATGTCGGAGCACCAGGTATACATTGGTATGGGGGCGGCGTTCCATTGTTCTGCGTGTGGTTGCGGAGCTAGTGGTCGGAAGCTGGATAAGTGCTTGGAGACGCCCAGTTTGGGCGGTGTTGTCAAAGGCAGTACTCAGCGAACTGGAGACGTTGGAGTGTTGGTGCAAGGAGTACCGATACACGTATCTCATTTGTTGGGTTACTTCAGTGGTCTGCAGATCCACGCGCGCTTGACGTGCGGGTGTGTCGGCAAGCACTTCTTGAGAGGACTTGCTGATGAGTGTGGCGGACATTTTGGGCACTACGGATATAAGAATCTGGGCAAGCTGGCGCGTAGCAGTTTCCCGAAGGGACGTGTTCATCCAGCTGCTACTTATACTTTCCGAACATGTTAGCCATATGGAGGCTACTGTGGCTTGCATGGTGCAAGGCCTCCTTTTTCGAGGGCGGCCTCGGCGTGCATGCATTGCGGGGGGGGGGGGCCTAATGGGGCCCCAGTCAGGTGCATCGTCGAGGCGTTTTTATTCCTGGGGGTGGTCCCTCCTGGGGCCCCAGGTGGCAGCCGCGGCTGAGCGGCTGCCTGTCCTCCCCCCTCCGCCCTTCCTCGCCCGCGCGTGTCTCAGCCTGGTTTCATATGGCTTCGGCTTCGGAGGAGAGGCGCTCACGGCCCGCGGAGTACTAAGCGCCGTGCTCGAGATCCGCCTCCTCCCCATCCGTCCTCCCTCCTCCCTCCTCCTTCCCCCCTCCCTCCTCCCTCCTCCCATCTCTCGGGAGCGTCGCAAAGAGGCCCTCCGAGGAGAATTTCACGACAACAAGAGCGCCGACCCGATGAACAAACACCACGTCGGGGTTCTGGGAACGGAGTCGAAGACGAAACCTCGAATAACGTAGTCTTCGATGTTCGGGGCATGTTTCTGACCATTTGCGAGCCTTGTTGACATTTCCGAGAGCCTCAGGGGTGGGCGTCTGGCGGAAAAACACGAGTGGAGGAGGAGACAACACGACGCTTGGTTTCTACCCCCGTGAGGGGCGCTACAGGGTACCAACTTATCCAGGTCCTCCGCGAAACTGCCTTGGATGACAAGATGTCGCGTTCCCGAGATGGCGGCATTCCCACGAAGCAAACCATCGATAGGGGAGAGTCGACGGCTCTGCTCAGGGCGGTGGGGGATCTCTTGGGGCTCGGCGTGCCCATCGCCTTTGCCGCGGACTCGGGGGCACGCCGTGAAGGGTTTAGCCGACGACCAACCTGGACCTCTGGCGAAAGCTGAAACAGATGCTGATGCCGCACCCGACACTGTTCAGCGTGGTCAAACTCGAGAGACACATGACAGTGGAAGAGGCGGCGAACGCTGGAACCATGGTGGAGCACTACCCGGCCAATGCTATGGCTGATGAAGCGGGAGGCTTTGGGGTTGAGAAGTGCGCGGTACCAAATGCGGCGGTGGCGGCAGTGGAGCATGCTGAGGCGATCGGCAGAGCAGCACGGAAGCACTTGGCCAAGGCCTTCTCGGCAGCGGCGGAGGCGGAGCCGAAGAGGCTGCGCCCAACACGTTCGATGGCATTCCGTTTATATATATATATATATATATATATATATATATATATATATATATATATATATATATATATATATATATATATATATATATATAAAGCGCAAAGTCACGATGTCGGAACACCAGGTATACATTGGTATGGGGACGGCGTTCCATTGTTCTGCGTGTGGTTGCAGAGCTAGTGGTCGGAAGCTGGAGAAGTGCTTGGAGACGCCCAGTTTGGGCGGTGTTGTCAAGGGCAGTACTCAGCGAACTGGAGACGTTGGAGTGTTGGTGCAAGGAGTGCCGATACACGTATCTCATTTGTTGGATTACTTCAAAGTCTGCAGATCCACGCGCGCTTGAAGTGCGGGTGTGTCGGCAAGCACTTTTTGAGAGGACTTGCTGATGAGTGTGGCGGACATCTTGGGCACTACGGATATCAGAATCTGGGCAAGCTGGCGCGTGGCATTTTCCCGAAGGGACGTGTCATGATTACGAGCAAGACGCCCAGTACCAGCAGCTTCTAACTTTCATCCAGTTGCTACTTATACTTTTCCGAACATGTTGGTCATATGGAGGCTACTGTGGCTTTCATGGTGCAAGGCCTCCTTTTTCGAGGGCGGCCTCGGCGTGCATGTATTGCGGGGGGGGGGCCCTAATGGGGCCCCAGTCAGGTGCATCGTCGAGGCGTTTTTATTCCTGGGGGTGGCCCCTCCTGGGGCCCCAGGTGGCAGCCGCGGCTGAGCGGCTGCCTGTCCCCCTCCCTTTGCCCTTCCTCGCCCGCGCGTGTCTCAGCCTGGCTTCGGTTTCGGAGGAGAGGCGCTCACGGCCCGCGGAGTACTAATACTCCTCCTCCTCCTCCTCCTCCTCTTCCTCCTCTTCCTCCTCCTCCCCCGTCCTTCGAGGAAACGATGCGGAGGCGAGGAGGCAAGGGGGCAGCGGGGAGGAGGGGAAGAGGCGGGAGGAAAAAAAGGGAGGAGAGGAGAGGAGCAGGAGTGCCCAGTTGAAAACGTATTCCCAGCACCGGAAGGCTGGGAAATATACGATCTCCAGATGGTTGTTGCATTTGCTGATGCGCGGGGGGGGGGCTGGGTCCAGTTCCTCTGGCAGCAGGTCAGTACGGCTGGCGTCGTGCACGGATTGTTGCCAGGGCAGAAGCTGGACCTCGAGGGAGAGGAAGAGGAAAAGGAAGGGAGAACGGCTCCCTTCGCAGCGGCAGATCAGTGCTTGTGGCCCCTGGAGCCCTCTTGCCTCTTGGCGGGCGAGGCGCGGTATGAGATGAACGTTTCCGCCATCGGGGACGCTTGTGGCAGGGCGACTGGACAATTCGTATTTTCACGTGCCGCCGTGGGGGTATTATAAGCTCTCCAGCCGCGCTGGGACAGTCGTCCCAAGGGCTGAAACGTATGTTTCACACCACTCTCTCTTCGTCCGCTCAATTCCTCGCCGCGTGACTCCTGAAGCTGTCGACCCATCCCCATGGATGGGTCTTTCGTCCCAGGTCGCTGATTCCAGGCCTTCCCGAGATGGGGGCTCGAGTAGGTGGGGTCGGAGGATCGTGCCGCATCTCCTTTGCATCAGCGACTCGGCGCGACCCAGAGCCAGAGTTTCTCCATCCCGATGTTTCAGACGCATCGGCGATGCGGCGCGATTCTCACCATCTGCCCCCGCCCCGCTTCGGAGGCCACTGCTGATGGCCCCAGGGCCCAAGAACGGCCCCCCCGAGGCCAGAGGCCGGAAGAACCGCCGCCTCTGTTCTGTTCGAGGCCTTGGACGCTCGGGCGCCCCTCTCCCGGGGTGCCTTCGGGACAGCATTTCGAGGCGAACCCAGCCAGAGCCACGAGGGGCCCCAGGGCTGCTCCCTTCTGAGCCGGTCCGGCATCCGAGCCGCTCCTGAGCCGGCTCGGCGCCGACCGGGACGCCGAACGGGCTCAATGTGGACGGGGTGGTGCGAAGTTGGCCCGTTCCGCAGCCGAGTGGGCTCCATTCCCTGTGCGTCCAGCGGCCGGCGGGGCTCAGACGCCGCACGGGCCCGGGGAAGGGAACCCGGGCGCTCCTGAGGTCCACGGCGGGGGGGACGCGCCCCCAGCCGAGCTTCAGCCTCTGACGTCCGATGGGCGAGGCCCCCTGTCTCGAGGCGCCCTCCGGCAGGAGCTCGCACCGGGCCGCCGCGGGCGGACCGAGAGGATCGGGGGCGGCAAAGAGGGGGGTGATGACTAAGGGGGGGGGATCTCATGGCGGGGGCCATGATATTCCTCCAGATTTCATGGCGCCTCTTCTTATTTCATTACGTCCCTGGACCCCCCGCTTGGCCGCGCACATGCCGCCGGTCATGATTTGCACCCCCCCCTCTTGGACCCCCCCCTCTTGGCCGCTCCCGAGAGGCCGGCTGGCAGACCTGCGTCGCGGACGGCTCGTCGGGCGCGTCGTCGCAGGCCGCCCAGGCGCGCGGCGGCGCTGCGGCCGGCAGCGTCTTCTGGGACGAGGCCGTCTGCCGTGTGTTGCCGCCCAGGGGGGATGTATTCAGCACCAGGGGGGCGGTCAGGGGGGGGGAGCGGTTCGGGGTGGGACCGAGAGTCATGATTGGTCGGATGGCGGGGAGCACGCTCAGACTCGAAGAGTCGCGCGGTGGGCGTAATTTTGTCGCGCGGAGGGATATTTATCAACGGGGGGGGTCCAGGAGAGCAGCCGAGGGTCATGATTGGTCGGACGACGGGAGGCGCGCTTAGGCTCAAATAATCGCGCGATGGACGCATGCGAGCCCTGAGGGGTATATTTATCAACTGGGGGGGTGCAGTAGGGGAATGGTTCGAGTTGGAGGGAAGCGCGTTCAGACTCGAAGAATCGCGCGATGGACGTATGTCGCCCGCAGGGATATATTCATCAACTGGGGGTCGGACCAGGTTGCCGACCTGGCGGATGACGGGAACCGCGCTTAGAAGGCCTTGGCTCGAGCGATTTTGGCGTCGTTTCTCGTGTCTGTGGGGTCGCAAGCCCCCGCACAGCATGATTCTCAGTCGATGGCGGGACATGTCATGTTTCGTTTCTCTTCTGCGCGCCATCGCTAGCCGAAGTTCACTACGCTGGAGGGCCGAGTGCTCGGTGGCGGCACGACCACCGTGGAGCTCCGTGTCGCAGGATGACTACTATGACGGGAGCGAGCCAGTGCACAGCATATGGAGCTATCGCCGCGCCCACCGTGTTATGCTCGCCAGAGGGCGGGTGTGGCTTGAGGTCGACCGTCATGTAGGCCAGGATGTTGCGACACACTCCAGTTATGTGGCTACTTCAGACGGCGCCACAACTTACACGCCTGAAGTTCGGATCTGGGATACATCCCGTTTGCACACATGCGTGTTGGGTGCTAATCCATGCGCGCGTGCGCACGCAAGCTCAGAGGAGCGGCGCTTCTGTCTGGACGGGTTTACGATCATGTGGCGCCACCGGGGCAGCATGGGCAGAATGATGAAGAGAAAATGAGAACGAGAGGGACTTACAGCAGCAGAGCCAGTTGCAGGGGGGATATGGGGGAACATGAAGAAGACGAGGAGGAGAAGGAAACGGCTGGACAGAAAAGGAACAGGTGTGGAGGGTGCGGAGCAGGAGCAGACGGCAAAGGATCAGTATGAGGAGGAGCAATCTGCGGTGGAATATGATGAACATTAGAGGAGGATAAATCTGATGGGTAGAGAAGGAAGCCGAGGAGGTGGAGGAACGGGGGGGGGATGATAGTTGCAATTCATGGGGACTTGTTTTATGCTGGTCATGAAGACGAGGAAGAGGAGGTGGACGATGCGTAGATGCTCCTGGAGAAAAAATGTTTAGTTCGCAGTCCAGTGCGACTTTCTGCGGTTGTTCTGGAGATTTGCGCAGCTTTGGCTGAGGCGGGGGGGGGGGGGTCTCGCAATGTGGGTCGTCATTGAAAGGGGTGTTTTGGCCGCGCCCGATGATGATGGGGACGGTTGAGGGATCTGGCGAGGAAAACGTTGCGGAGGAGGGGGGGGGAGGAGGATGAGTTCAACGATGGGTTGGCAATGGGAGCGTCCGAGCGTTCGGATTAGGAGTATGGAGTGTGAGGATGTTGAGGCATGGTGCTGGGGAGGGAAAAAAAAAAGAGAGGACTGGAGAGGCACCCAGGAGCACGCGGAGGAGGAATGGGAGAGGTGCAGTGAGGAAACAACTAAACATGGAGGAATGGGCATGGAGCGTTTTCGCTTAATTCCCTGCTACGACCGCGATGAAACAGATCGGCAGCACGGCGCAAACCAAACCAAAAGATACGTCTTACACATTTGTGTATTTACATGGCGGAATGGGTATGGAATAGGGGGAGCGAGGCGAAGACATGATGACAGTGATCGAGGAGGGGGGAGGGTTGAAACGGATAGGCGAGAGAAGACGATAGCGGGCGGGGGTTGGGGGGAATGCTGCAGAGAGGGAGGATGATGAGAAAGGGCATGGCAATCTGATGGGGCAGGAAGGACAGGGACATAATGTTGAGGAGGTGGGGGCAGGAAGAA